AAGTATGTCCGGTTTTTTTTTGAGAGAAGATGGCCAGTACGTAGGAGCAGGAGGTGCAAGTACTTTGTATTTTTTTAAGTTTATAAAATTGTGAAGCGTAGTGCCTCGAGGATTGCCTGTGCGACAGCCCCACGATTGGTGTTTAGCATTAAAATCACCTCCGACTATGAAATTATTTTTAATTGTGTTAAAAAATTCTGTAAACCTAGCGGTTGTTATATTATGTTTGGGAGGGGAGTAAATTGCCGCAATAGTAAAGTAAGTAAAGTTTAATTTAATTTGAATTGAGCAAGATTGACAGAAGTCTTGGGAAAAACCAGGCAAAGGATGGTAAGTAATAGATGACTTAATATATATAGCCACGCCTCCGTGTGCCGTATTATCAGGATGATTTGTATTAATCAATTTATAACCTGGGATATATATTTTAGAATTATTAGTGAAGTGTGTCTCAGAGATGAGAGCAATGTCAATTCGTTTGTTGTTTAATACTGTTTCGAGTTCATGAGCATGATTTCTTAGGCCATTTGCGTTGAATAGTAATATAAGTAGGGAGTTGTCAGTGACAGAGTTGTTGTTATAATTGTTATTTAGCATTTTTATCAAGTAGGCAGGAAATTACTTTAGTGAGAAGGGAAATTAAAGGATTGATGAGAGACTTAAAGTCGTCTATGAAACTTGACATTATCTTATTAATATCAGGAGGGGGAGGAATTGTGTTATCGGGCGGAGCGTTGGACGTAACGTGTGCGTAAGTCTGTGTTTGAGAAATGGGTTGACTAGGAATTGAGTGGATAATTGGGTGGCTAGCTTGTACATTGGTAAATTTAGTTTTAGAGTTTTCATACATAAAATTACTTGAAGATGGTTTTTTCCGACGTTGAAGGTCTTTATAGATAGTACACCCTTTATAGTTAGCAGGGTGGTTTTGAGAGCAGAGGGCACAATTTGTAGGCGATTCACGTGAGTTTGGGCACAGGGATGAGAGGTGATCCAAGCCGCAGCGGACACAGCGTGGTTGATAGCCACAATATGCTTTTGTATGGCCGTATTGTTGACAATTATGACATTGACTTATTGATTTTGGTTTGAAAGGTTCTTCAATTTTGATTTTAGTGTGTAGAAGAGAAGACAGATGAAAAATTTCGGAAGAATTGGACGTGGGTTCTAAGTCAACAAAAAATAGCGGGAGAGGGTTTTTGTTAACCTTATGGAGGACGTTAATTACTTGTCTGACTTCGAAAGTAAGGAGTTCTAACTCTTCTTTTATAGTTTCAGTTGGTGTGGAAGGATGTAAGTTCCGTATGACTATCCTCAAAGGTTTATCCTCTTTGAGTTGATAAGTATGAAATTGCGCTTTCTCCTCTTTAAGATAACGAACTAGAGTTCTATATGAATCAGGGTTTAGAGTTTGGATTTTTAATTTGTCGGCAGATGCTTTACAGACAAAGTTATCTACTCCGATAATTTCAATAAGCTTTTTGCAAAGTTCAGGAAAATCCGCGACGCCTTTCACAAAAACTGGAGGCGGTGGTTTGTTTGGTGCGATATCATCAATGACAATTTGTTCGGTAATTGGGGTGGTTGGGTTTGAGGGCGGAGTTACATCGTGATTTTCATTTTGACTCAGAACTAGATAGCGATTTGGAGTTACAAAAATTTTTTTTTTACCTTTTTGATCTGTCTGCTTGTTCGTTGATGGGGATGGCGGATCGGAGGCAGAAGAGCTGGAGTGGTTTCTTTTGTTGTTGGTGGAGTTTTTGACGGACCAACCTTGATCAGGTGTGACATCGTTTTTATTTCTCGCAATTGTAATCGGAGAGATTGTGTTGTTTTTGTTGTTTTTGTTATTTTGATTATTATTGGAATTCATGGTCAATTATTGATATTGATATTAGAAATTAAATTAAGGACAAGTGAGAGTATTATACTCATAGGCTGGCGATAGCGTTTGCAGGTAATTACGCTTATCTCAACGGCCGCGGCGGCCGCAGATAGGAAAAAACGTATGCAGTAACGTGCAAGTTTGACCGAAACAACCGAAATGTAAATTTCGTTTGTTGAGTATTCACTTACATTTAGTTGACTTGAACGAAATAAACAGATTTAATTTATTTATTTTTTTCGTAAAGAAAAAGAGTTGAAAGTTACGTACGTTCTCACATAACTATACTGGTGAGGTGATAGAAAAACAATATAGTTATAATTAAAATTAATTAACGAGCTAATAAATTTACGAGAGCGCATGGAACGCGTGCGAAGCGGACGACTGCTATCGCGAGAATGAGATATATATATAACGACAAAAAAAACTATCAGTATGACTGTTAAGTTTTTACGTTTGTCGACCCATAGATGACGGCGTCCCGTCAACTACACAATACCACAATACAAAAATTACTAACCTTTTACAGATGTAACGTTCACCATCGAACGGATCACACTTATGCGATTCGGATCGCAAACATTTAAAACTCGTTCAATTTCGTTCTCGTTCGAATCGCACTGTTATAAACGAATTTACCTGAACCGTGAATAACCGTGAATAAGAATTTCTTCATTCGTTCAATTTTGTTCTTGTTACATATATACTACTGTATTATAGCCTAGTTAACATTCCAATAACATTTTATAAATCATAATTCGATTATGACTCAATCACGAAATACATTCAATCATTCCAGTATCAAAATAAAATCAATTCAATTCGTTCCAGTGTACGGAATCGTACGAAATGAACGAAAAATATTGATCCAATGGATCTTTGTTTCATCTGGTTCTTTGCAATAGTAATTATGTTTATGTATTAAGTTCGTTTCTTCGTTCAACGAATGAAATAAACGAAATTATCGAAATTTACAAATCATATGAACGGGTCTTTTGAATGACTCGATCAAAACGAACCGAATCGTTAAAATTACCCATATGAGCATCTCTATGAACTGAAAACCGTTTTCCGCTCGACTGTAGCGACTTGAGATGATTAGCGATTGCTCAAGGGTTATGGATGAATATGGACGAATTGATCATATTAAAACTGTTAATGTGACACTTTAACATTCAATTTCGAAAATTGAAGTCAATGCGCCCTGTAAGAAGTCTTCCTCTTTCTAACAATAAAAAAAAAATATTGAAATCTGATCATTCTACGAGTCGTGAGAGTTTTTCCTGTAAGGCATGTTTTACAGCAAAAACAGGTCGTGAGCAGGCCCCTTAAAAATAAATAAACTGTAATTGACCATTCTGTAATATTCAAATATATGATACTATTTTATATAATATGAGCACGTCTTGCGGGTTTTCCCACTGGTAATCTCTAGATATTTTTTATTTTTAATATTTTAATAAAATCACTTTCGCGGATCCTCTAAATGATCTTCGCGGAACTCAGGTTAAGAAACACTGGTCTATAAGATTCAGTGGCACCTTTTCCATTAGTAGAACCTTTCTTTATAAACGATTGATCAATATGACCTTTTTTAATTATATTATTCCAAGAAAATGCTCGAAAGCGCAAACAAAATGCTGCGTTTATATTTTCATTGAATTTTAACCATTTAAAAATTTCATACCATAATATTTGAAAATAACGAAATCTATCCCCGAATCATACTCTTGGATAACAAAATAAGTTGACTTGGCAGAGTCCTTAGAGTAATTTTGAGTTTTACATGGTAATGATAAAGCTGGGTGGGCTATTATGTTAAATGACAACTGTTTCCAACTTCAAATTTTCGGATTTCAAATGATCAGAGGGTAATGCAATTGTTGTGTCAGCATTATGTTTGGTATTTTGAACTTTAACAGTTTTTAAATAGGAATTTACTGAATATTTATTTGAACTTTTTCAGATAATATATCTAAAAACCAACCAATTTACAGATTATAGAATATATTAAAAGAAAGATAATTATTTTCACTGATTTACTGCAGTGACGGATCTAGGATTTTATCATGGGGGGGGGGGATATAAAATATTTTCTTACATAATATGTATAGGTATTATAAGCTTTATTCTACTAAATTTACAAAATAAAATTTAATTTTCTTCATGATTGTGTCATTACTCTATGGCTGTATCCCTGGTCATGATATAAGTACGATATAGCTTTAAATTAATTATTTTATTAAAGAATTTTTATTTCAATCTAATTTCAAGCACTTTAGATTCCTTATTTGTTTTTTGATCCCTTAAAAATTAACAAAAATGTAAGTAATGTTCTTTATGTTCTTACATCTAATTTGTTCTTACTACTATCAATTAAATGAAATTAAAAAAGTGGAACACCAAGTTCTAGATTTAAAAATGCAAACAATTTTATAGTATCTGGTACTAAATAATAGTAGGTATGTATTTGATGGTGTGTGATTAATATTCAACAAACAAGAAAGGATTAAAGCATTTGTGAAATTATAGACAAAATATTATTGAGTCAAATTTAATATAATATAATATATTAATGTACATGATTATATTTTGTCCATTACAAAATAGTAAGAATTTTCATTTAAAAATACATTGTTAATATACCTAGCCTTAACAATTTGTATTCAACTTACTGAACAACAAAAATAATAATAATAATCAATAACCATTAGGTACTAAGTGAGCATAATATTGTCAATAAATTGAGCTAAATAAAACAATAATTTTTAACATAAAGACAAACTTGTGGTGTAATTTATGTGCAATAGTTCCTAATTCTATCAGCTAATCAATCATATAAAGTATTAATGATTTAAAAGCTACCAACAATAATAATTTTATATTTTTACTAAAAATATATTATATTTTATAAATACATATAAGCAATACACGCAAACACACAATATAATATAACATAGATTATATATTGATTCTTTTTCTAGAAATAATTGTACAAAAATATAAGAGAATATTTTACATATAATTTATATAACATTTTAGAATTCTACAACATAATTAAATATTTTATGTTCAGCATAGTAGCATGTAGTTAATCATAAAATTGTTTTTTCATCTAATATATCAAGGGTATTCTTTCAACTTTTTAAATCAATAATTAAACTTTGATAATTTCAAGACTTGTGGTAACTATTTGTTTAAAAAATGTAATCTGATCAGCTGAATGATTTAAAGATTTTCTTCTTAAAATATAAATCACAATTATTTTACAAAGATGGCCGTAAAAAAATAAAAATATATAATTTATGGTAATTAAATTTTTTTTAATACATCAATTTAATGATTAGCTATCTCTAGCTATTAGAATTTGATCGATTATTATATAAATTTAAGTTATACATTTTTTTTTAGTTACAACCCTGTTAAAACCAGTCAGCTGTGTACGTAAAGTCTTTAAATAACTGTTGTTCATCATTATTTAACAGTCTAGGATCTTTAGGTGGTGTTAATTGTGGTTTCTCTGAAGTAAATTCTTCATCAAAATTACTAACATCTTCCACAGAATTCTAAATATAAAATAAAATATTTATTTTAATAATAATAAATTAGGTTATATCATATAAATTACTTTTTTTACAATAAATATAAAGTGATTAATAAAATACTCACTACAGTAGGTACAAACGGAGGTTTAATTTTTCTTTGTAATAAATCATCCCAAACAACCTGTCTGAAAAATGCCTGCTTTTTCACATCTTCTGCATCTCGTTCACTTGAACCTAATCTACGTTCTGGATTTTTACGCAATAGCTGAAATAAATATATTAATAAATTATAAAATGTTTTGCTCATTTTTTAAACAATTAAATGATATACTCTTCGCATGATTGCAATTGCTTCCAATGACAAAAATCTAGGATATCTAACTTCATCATTTACTATGGAGTCAAATACTTCTTCTTCGTCATCACCAGGGAATGGTGACTATAAACAACACAATATTAGTACAAAAATAATATTTAATACATTTAAATATTTACTTCTCCAACAAGCATTTCAAATATTAGTACTCCTAAGCCCCACCAGTCTACACTACGTGTATATGAAGTCTCAGTTAGAACTTCCGGAGCTAAAAATTCAGGTGTTCCACAAAATGTACCAGTTCGATCACCAAATCCCATACCTTCTTTGCACAATCCAAAATCAGCTATTTTAACATATCCATCAGTATCCAATAACAAGTTATCCAATTTTAAATCACTAAAATATAAATGCAAATAAATATTATTAACACATTTAAAAAGAAAATATTAACAATAATACTAACCGATAAATAATACTATTTTCATGTAAATATTGTAATCCTAAAACAACACAAGCAGCATAAAAAACAGCTCTAGGTTCTGTAAATACATCAGCATGTATATGCATCATCAAATCACCACCAGCTGCATATTCCATAACAAAACAAACATGAGCCTGTAAACAAGTAGAAGAATTATTTAAAATAAAATATGAAATTATAATTCAGAAAAAAAATTGTTTTATTAACAATATCTAGAAAAGAGAAAACTCAATAGCAAAATCTTACGTCTGTTTGGAAGCAAGCAAATAAGTTTACTAGGAATGGATGTCGGATATCATTAGCAACTTCAAATATTCTTTTTTCAGATAACAGTGACTCTACTTCATCACGGGCAATTATATCACCTTTCTTCAATGCTTTTATAGCAAAATATTCATTTGATTTTTTATGCTGACAAAGTATTACCTTAAAGAATATAAATCAACGTTATTAATTGATTTATTGTTTTATATTGTATAGTAGACAATTTCAAAATGTACTCAGTTTACCTTTCCAAAATGTCCTCTACCCAATACACTAAGAAGTCTAAAATCATCCATCGACATTTGAGAAAATTTGGAAGTATTAGATAATATGGTTTTACATGGTTCTGGTGGTTGCATATTATTTGTTGTTGTAAGATGTCCTTTTGATTCATTTTCTCGATAATCAAGTACACGTGAAACTGGATGATTAAATAGTGGCAACTAAAAAACAATAATCAAAATAAGTAATATACTCATATTTAAAACTATGAAATATACATAAATACAAATATGTTAATAACCCAAAAAGTAAAAAAGGTAAATAACCCAAAAAGGTAAATAAATGTGATATACTAACACTGAATGAATGAACTATAGTTATCTAAATAGTTTTTTAGTGGTTACAAAAATAAAATACAAAGTTACAAGATAAAACTAAACGATTTCTTAGTAAGGCTTACTTTTAAAATTTGTAAAGTTTTAACTAACCTTAAATTAAATTTCAAATGCAAAGCAAAATATTTAAATGAAAAAAAGTATGCAATAATTAATAAGTTTTTAATAAATGAAAAAATGAGATGAAATTAACTTATTAAAAAAATAATTTTTCTGTACTCAACTCTATTAATACTACTATCAGAACTTTAAATACTTGTAATATTGCAGTACTTATAAAAATACAATTGATTATATAAGCATTCAATAATAGCACATAATATTAACAATTCTAAACATAGTCTAACTGAAATTAAACTATAAATCAAAAGTTAAATATTTACATTAGGCCCTTTGACTGATGAAATTAAACATCAATAATGCTACTTTAAAAAGATATTAACTTATTTTTTTGTAAACATAAGTAATTATAAGTAATTCATTTACGTAAATAATAATCTTATAATAAAAGTAAAACCTTATTTAATTGACTGAAATTAAAAAAAATCACAATTTTATAAAAAAAAACCATTTACAACAAAACTATTTTTCATAACAGCTTAGTCACATTTAATTTAAGCAACATGTTAAAACAGCAGTAAATAATTTTAAAAAAATGATTAGTAAGTGATAAGTAAATAATCACCAACTTTATTATAGATAATTTAAATTATCTTTTAAATTGAAAATAAAAACATTAATTTATTATTTCGTGAGAATTTCTTACTACAACTAGATTTATAATGTATATTAATTAATTACTCAATTATTTAATAACATAAAACATAAAAAATATATATCATTTTTGATAATACAATAAAAACAACTATTTTAATAATAATTTGATAATATAACTTTTTTTGGCATGTTCATAAAACAAATGTATAAGATAATATAAAATAACAAAGCAAAAACAGAAAACCACATACTAAGTTAGAAAGAAAAACATATAATTTATATTCTACTCTCTATGTATAGTATCTATTCTGAAAAACTAAATAATTATCAAAATAATTTTTTAATAAAGACTAAATAAGAATATTTTATTAAAACAGCCTATATTTTAATATATTTTTAATATTGTATAATAATTATTTGTATGCAGCAAGAGTAAGTTTCATTAATCATTCAAAAAATTGATCAAATATATATATATGTAATATAGTATAAATCACTTATTACTTATTTTTATTATAAAAACATATTAATGTTTGTAACAATGATATAATTAAGATTCTGGCAAAAAACTAAAATTAATTATGATGAAATAACAAAATAAAAATTGCAAGAACTTTCATCTTCTTTATAAATAATTTATACTATAACATAATATATTAAATTAGATTTAATTAACTTATAAAAGTATGTTAATTATATAAACCCATCAATTTTATTTGAATAAAAATTAATGCTTAGTTTTTGGGTTAATATATCAGTAAAAATATACTCTTAACATGCAGTCTTCAGAAAACAATTTAAGTAAAGTAGATTGCCAACAAAAATAAAAGTAAGAAATATTGAAACATTCAAATATATAAGCACATTTAAAGATAAACATTAATTACAAATAAAATTTTACAATTACTTGTCTATTAATTAATTTGATGCAATAGTGATTGTAAAAAACAAACTATAAATTAGAATTTTAAGGAACCAGATATAAGTAGTTAATACCATAGTTGTACTTATATCTCTTTCCAATGGTAAGACATTTTTTTTTAGTAAGAAATAAGTAATAATTAGTGAACTGATGTATAAATAAGGGTTCTTCATTTTGGTACTGAAAAATTTATAAATATATGTTAATGATTTCACATTTTTGAAAATTAGAATTTATTTTTAAGGATTTCTTTCTATTAAAAAAAGGTAAAAAATTAAATATATTGCTCTATAAAAGTTACATTATATATGTTATATAAGTAATATAATATATTAACACTTTAAACATGGTTTAATGAAACTCAAATTTAGTAGGAGACATATATATATAATAGTGATAGGTCGAACCCTGAATTTTTAAATCGAATCAAACTTTAAATTATTTTTTTCGAACTCAAACTGAACCCAACCGAACCTATTATGATTTTAAGTCGAACTCGAACTCAATACTTTTTATCATGTACATTGTACCTACCTACAAATTAAATCAACCATAATTATTAATTACTATTGTATTTTAAGTTTTCGTATTACCTATTCTACATTTTAACTTTTGAGTCTAAGTAATTGTATTATTTACAATACATTTAAATTTTAGATAATTTCTTATTATTATTATTATTTTTCAAAACCAGTGTTGTCTTGTAGCTAAGGCCGGCTCAAGGTGTGAGCTAGGCACTTTCCTAGAGCTACACTTTAGTAGGGGGGGCATTTTCAAAATTGACTCGAACATTCTTTTAGTTATATTGGTGTTTTATAAGAAAAATATTTAAATTAATTCATTCGTGAAAATCACTTACCTATATAATAAAATAATATTGTCTAAAGTTATTATATTACTTTATATTATGGCCTACGCTGGACGTTTTCAATTATTAAAATAATATAAATAACCACATATCCGATAATCGCGGTAGTGATGGGTTTTGAGTAATAGTAATAGAAATTATTTTTAATTCTTTTACATATAATTTTATCCATAAAATAAAAATTTAAATTTTTTTAAGTAAATATGTCACATAAAATATAGGGAGAGGGGCTAAGTTAAAATAAGAACTCAATTTTTTTTTTTTAGAGGCGGCAAAATTTGATTTTGCCCAGTGTACTATTTTTGCTTGGGCCGGCCCTGCTTGTAGCTTATAAAATATTCATTGAGTATTGAGTATTGAGTGTAATATGAAAATATAATCAGTATATTTTAATAATATATGAAAAAAATAGTAATAATAATTATAATTCGCAAATATAGAATGATTAGTAGAATTTATAATGTAAGACGTAAGTTGTAAACATGTTTTTATTAACAGCACAGTCTCGGTATCGGAATATTACCATGGATTTACCTAAAAATAGATTTTAACCTCTACAATAAATATGATAAAAACAAAAATAGCCAATTTATGGATTTAGATACACTGCCTCTATTGGCGATAAACAACATATTAATGTTTTGGTCGGCGGAGGGTGGATGTGTAATATGCGACTGGAAAAATAACATTATTATTATTATAATAAAAGCATTATTATTATATATAATGCATAATGTACCCTTTATAGATTATCACTTTCTATCGTCAATAATCTAATTATTTCTAAATAATCATTATCAATTTTTATTTTTCAAAAATAACTTGAAGAATTGTACAAATATTTGGTTTTCAAACTATCGTGGCCAGTAAGTCTGGTTCGATAGATATTATCAAGTTCGATTTTCGAACAGTAAAAGATGCTTGATAGTCCGGTTTGATTTTTTTTCATGCCGAGTTCAAATTTCGAACCGAACCGAACCGAACATCAAGGGTTCGGTTCGGTTCGAGATTCGAACAGTTCGACCCATCACTAATATATATATATAGGATGTATATGTAACATTAATTATATAACTCCATAATATTTAATACTCTCATATGAAAAAAAAATACAATTAAATCTACTTCAAGTCATTCATGCACAAGATTGGTTAGAAATGTGTGTGATATACCAGTTATGCGCACGCATGTTAGACAAGCCTAACAACAGTGGTGTAGGAAGAGAATGTACCTCGTCCTGGGGAAACTCTACAAGAGGAGATGGCTGCGGTGTTCCCAAAGTTGAGCTTCCAACACTTTCTATGCTAACAGACATTGTCATTATATGTCTCCTATGAACTGGTGGTAATGTCTGTTGCTCATCATCATGTAAAAAGTCAAATTCCTTCAACGCATTCTGCAGCTACACATATCATACAATTTACCCCCCTGGTGCATTGATGTTCAAAAAGCTAAATAGCTAAAAAAAATGACATTTGCATTTTAAAGCAATAACGTAATACTCACCTCTTGATCTAATTGCCGTGGTGGCCTTGGAGGAGGTACAACTGGTGCAGAAATAGGTGCTCTTTTGTTTGCAGCTAAAACTGCTGAAGGTAGGAATGTAGGAGATCCCGTTGATATATTTCGCTGTTCAGCAATAGTAGGTGGTAATGGTGGTAAAACAGCAACTCCTAAGCCTAATGGTCGAGCACCAGCCAACCCACAAGTGTTAATTGGTTCTGGTGTTTCACCAGGTGTACATTTTTCTTCAAGTCTTATATCACCTCCATCTAAATGTATTAATCCTGTTAAACTAAACATCAAATTTAAAAATATATGTATAAACCTGTGGAGCTATCAGAGTGAGAATGTGATCTTGAGTGCTGTTGTACAGGAACTAATGGTGAATTTTGAATTGAAGGTGATGATCTTTTAAGAAGTCGACTCCAAGCAGCTATATTAATGTTCATTTGGTTGGCTCTTGGGAAATTTTTAGCTTGTTGCTTAAAAATTTTGCGTTGACGTCTTAGGCGAGGTTGACGTGATATCATTGGATTCAAAAATTTAATCTAATACAAAAAATATCAATAAATAAGATAAATTAGATAAATGAATAAATAATTTGATTAATACATGAATAAGCTATTAAAATAACAAAAATTAATTTAATTTAATTATCACAGCTAAACAAGTAAATTTTACTATATTTATGACTTATTAGATTGCAACATGATAGTCCATGAGGATATTGATTTATCAATAGTTAGTATGATCATCAATCAAATATCCCCAATTCACAGATGAAAAACATGTAATTAGATGCTTATACATCAAATTATCTGAGTTACAGTAAATAATTTTTAATAAATGTACTACTGTCAATTACCTCTGCAAACAGAAGTCCTTGGGGTTCCAACTGTAATGCCATACCATGCCGAATATCATCAATAAATTCTTCCAATCGAAGAAATTTAATGGCACACAATGACCGCCAATCTCTCCAATATATTCCAATTTCAAGCTCTCGAGATTTATCCAAATCAATAGAAAACCTAGAAGAATTTTGAAAAATTATAATCAAATATCTTAATTCTTCTAATAAACATTTAAATTTTTATAAGACGTAGCTACTCAAAACAGTATACTATTTTTTATAGTCATCAATGACGACTCATCATTATATAAATTAAAAGAAATTAATTTAATATTATATTGTTTTTTGAACATGTATACAGTAAACTATTAAATAAGACAATTAATATATAATAAACATAGTTTACCTTTGGTCCCATGCTTGTTGTGAACAAGGTCTCCAGCTAGTTTGACCAACTGTTTGATTATCTAATTTGATAATAGCCATGATTTCATCTAAAAAAATCAACAAAAATAAAAGATAAATTGGATGTTGATTGAAATAAATATTTTTCTTATTTATACTTACTACTTATTTCATCTTTAATATTATAAGATTTACTAGAACTACGTCCAGTCACTCCTTTTACAAAAGATCTTAAGTCTCCAGGATTGTCTTTTTCTCGTCTTGATCTACCTGGAACTTCTTCCAATAAATCTTGACACCCCATTAACCTAAAAACATTTTTTAGGTAATATATACAACAATGCAGTAAAAGAAGATACTAACCTAACTTCAAGTTTCCCAGTAACAGCTGCACATCTAGATACAGTAGCTTTTTCGGGTATCACATTTCGTTCTGCTTTTGGGAATGGTTGTAGACTCACATAAGCATGATTTGGAGTAGGACTAGCAGCTTGAGCATTTTGTAATTCTCGCACTAATTGGACAGCTGTAGTTGAATTAGCAGGAAGCTCTTGACGACGGAGTTCAAGTGATCGTCGTAACAAATCCAATTTACAACTAGATTCCGAAAGATTAGCTTGTGCCTGTTGCAAATCAAAATTAAAATATATTTTATCATAATTAATAATGAAATTATTTTTAAAAAATAGCACTTATATAATGTCATGAATATAATTTGAAATTCCTTTATACAGATAATAAAACGAAAATCAGAAACACAAAAAATCAACAAATGGCAGAACTAACAATTTTACAAATGATATATATGATATATTATGTATAATTATGACTCACTTTCATACAGTTAAAGTAATTGAAAAATAGAAAAATTCTAATTCTGGTTCAAATAAAAGGGGAGGTTCTGTAAATATTGTCTGTGATACTTTAACTACTCTAAATGTGACATAAAATTTAAAATAGGAATTTTTAAAATTAAACATAATGTTTTTTTGTCTGTCAAACGGAAAAAAAATCTAATACTATTTTAAAAAGGCACAATTTGCAATATTTTGTAATAATTTATCGAACAGTAATTGTTTTTCATACTGTAAATATGAACAATACAACCCTTCATGTTTTAAAATCATATTGACTTTAATCATATAATTCTAATTTCTATTTACATTTATTTTATATATTTTAAATTTTGATACAAAAAATAGCAAAAAACTTAATAAAACATCTAAAAATTATTAACTTAAACTATTGTAATTAATTTGTATTAAATTATATTTTATAGTCATATATATCAGTTTATTCAAATAAAATAAAAGGAATCATATAATTTCTGGCCTAACTTTGATAAATCATATAAAGATAATAGCCAATATATTTTATTTAAAATAAATATGCTCCTTATTTTTGCTAGAAAATACATATAATTAATTCAGAAATTTCAGTAGTCCAAATACTTAATGATTCAATTTATATTATTAACAATTGGTAATCATTTATATTAAATACAATATTTTTGACAAATGCATATTTATTTTCAATAAAATAGTTGCTCTTATCTTTCTTGCCATAATATCTATGGCTAGTTTGTGGGAAAATGTTTACAAATTTACAGGCATATATATATCTTAAATTGTATAAATTAATAATATTGCACAATAAGAATAAGAAATATAAAAAAATAATGATAATAAAATAAATTGTTTTTTTTTTTTTTTTGTCAAGTTGTTACATTATACTATCTGGAAATAGAAACTGCATCTTTTTAGCACACTTCAATTGACATAATGCCAGCACTTTTCTGGATATACTACTATGACTATTTACTCAACTTTAATTATAAATATCATATATTTTATTATAATGTTTACTGATAACACATACAATTTAAATAAATAATTTAAGCTGTAATAAACTTTAACACTGATATTGTTAAATGAACACCTGTATAACTAAAATATATTTAGCATACATTTAAAAGTTAAAAAGCTACTGGTTTCCTTTTAAATTAGGTTTATTTTTATTTATAACATAACTACTGAATATTCTTTCCATACAATTATTAATTACTGTTACTTATTCTCAATTGTATTTTGTTAATGGAATTTAATATGTGGGTGAATTTGACATTTTTATTTTGTCCACCATGAATTATGACCTTAGAAAACATTAATCCCCTCTCTTATGCTAACAACACGCTTTGAACAGTACATTTGATGCTATGCCAAAATAACAGCTCTCAGCTGAGAATTAGGATACTTTCAACTCATATGAGTAGCCAGTATTTTCTACAACACAGTTTTGAAATGTACACTTGTATTGTGATGTGATAAAATTAATAGTGACTAATGAAATGGATGAAAAAATCAAAAAAGACAATAATTCTAATTTAATACATGATTGGTCAATACATGCACATCTAAAATTAACACAACAGCCAAATAATTTTCAACCAATAACTGAGCAACCATGTTATGGATTTCAAAAAGGAAATATTATATTTACTGCTCAGCCACCTCAAAGACCAGATTCTGGACTAGGAACTTCATCACATGGATCAGCTTGTGATTACACTTTCAATGTAACACCTCAATGTGAGGTATGTTGTGGAATGAGGAGCCCCATGTCAGCTAGAAAAGCAAACAGTTTTACAGCTCATTTTTGTACAAATGTTCCACCAAAAAAACATTTAGAAACTGTAGATGTATCTAGTCAAACTTCACCTTCGACATCAATAGTCTTTACAAAGGTACTTAAATAGTTAATTGTTATTAATTTGTAATAATTCATTACTATTTTCTTTTTGTTTTAGGAAAATAAAAAAGTTCTACTCAAAAATCAACAGTATGAATTAGATAAAAACAAAAAACGTCATGCTAGGACTGTACATATTGATGTTTATTGTACAGAATCATCAGATTCGGAAGATACATTAACATCTAAATCTACAGATACATTACTTAATTTATCAGATGTGAAAATTAACAGCAAAAAGAAATCAAAAAAATCTTATGCAGCTCGAAATCAATCAAAAATGTCAAATCAAAGTATGTTACAGAGAAGTCCTTGTTTGTCAGCTATAAGTTCTACAAATACAATATCAAATTCTTCTTTCTTTGAGTCATCTAGCTGTGGCTTATCATCATTTATGGATTCTACAACATTAGATAATAGTAGTATAACTAGTTCAGAAACCGAAAGTATTCAACAGAAATCAAAATTAAAATATTATGATAATACAACAAGTAGTTCTGATGATGAATGTTCAGAGACTGCATGGAGTTTTAACAGCATAAGTTATCAAAGAAATCAAATTTTAGCAAGACGTCCATGGTCTGAAGTAAAAAACACAAGAGATGATTTAGGCAGCTTTAGTGACTGCTCACAATCACCAATACACCGACAACCATCTAACTCTAATTGTCTAACTACTCAAGTTGCTAAAATGGCATCAAAGTTTGGAACAATGCGATTAACAGTAAAACAAGATCATCATGTTGGACCATCAAAAAATCCAGATTGTTCATGTTTTAATTGTCGCAGATATTTTAATACCAGGCATCGATCAAATTCAATTGGTAGTGAAGCTCATTGATCATAAATATCAACATTGTTCAGAAAGTGTCTTCAATCAATTATTTCGGATCACTTGTAGTTCAAACACCAAATAAATTGTAATTCTTCATAAAATATTTGGAATTTTTCTCATTTTTATTTTAAAAATCACAAAAAAATGTAAACAACTTGGATTAAGTCCAAAAAATTAAAAAAAAGTAATTACATAGTATTAAAACAAAAATTAAACAAGGTTGCATCATCTTTGACTTTTTATCGTAGGTGAATTTAATTAATTAATCTTATACATTGTACAACACACAGTGTAAATTTATAAATATATTACATTTAAATCCAATGAATAATAATTAAAAAATTCAATAGAAATAAAGATATATTATTTAGTTAAATAAATATTGTAATAATTTGTATTAAATAACAATGAATTAAAACAAAAAAATGTGATGTCATATGTCAACAGTTCCATACGTTAATGTTGTAATTCAATATTTTCTTTAATTCATTACACAATATTAAATGTGTTAATGATATATATATAATATATATATGTTAATAAATATGGCATAAAAAACAAAATTATAATTATAACAAAAATAAATATTTATTTGAACTATTATATCTATTAATTTGTGTACGTTTATTTATTATTAAATAAGTAAAATTTCACAGAGTTTTTCAGTCGAAGACTTTCACCCAGAAGTGATGGTACATTAGTTTTAAGTTTAAAAGACTAATATAGTAATACTATTTACCATCTCTGTATCTCACCTGACTATGGAGTCTAGTCCTTTATAGATTTTGTGTTTAATTTATAAGAAAAATATTGTTATTAATATAAGCATTTCATACTGTATAGATTACATGATTTTAAAATAATATCAAAAGTTTATATTTTCTGATACTCAAAAAATAAAAACTTACATCATTAATCTATTAAATATATACATGGTAGATTTATAGGATGATAAAACTATTGTAAATAGTGAATCATTAAACTATTTGTAGAATATCAAAATATTAAATTAAATTAATAAATAGTTCTTAAATAAATTAGATACATTTTTGAATTATTATTTTGTATTCCTGATTTGGTAATACATTAAAATTTAAGTTAATAATAATTTTATATTTTAAATATAAATGTATTAAAATATTGAAAACCATAATTATATTTCATAATTATTTTAAAAACAAACCTACAATCAATTATTGTACTACGCTATTACATGTTCTTCAAACAACAATAATCTAGACATGAAATAAATTTAATGAATTTATGATTTAAAATTTACCAATTTATTTCAAATTATATTTTAATAATAACTATATTTATATCAAGTAGTAAAAATGATTTAACTAATTTGTTAAAGGACTGTTTAAGAACCTCAATTAATTTTTATCTTCTAATTAATATGTATATATAAGCTAAGTAGCAGCTTTATTAATACATTAAGAAATGCTTACTTCTTGCAAAGCTTTTTTCTCATTGAATTTGGAACTTTGTAAAGTTCTAATAACATTTTTAGCTCCTTCTACAACCGCTGCTTCAATTCTTAAGCGATGTCTTAACTCTGCTACACGTTCTTCTAATGAATTATCTAAATGAGAATCAGAATTATCTGAAATAAAAATAAAATAAGTAATTATACGTAGTCATATTTACATATTTAAAACATATTATGTAAATATATCAAAGTTACTGATATATAAATTATAACTCCGAGAATATTACTAAAGGTTTTATGAAACCTTAACAATCACCTATATATATATAAAAAAACTAAAATGTTCTAATTTGTCTTAATTTATTTAAATGTCTGTGTAGGCACAAGCATAAAATAAAAATATAACATATAACATAATATAACCTAATAAATAAAAGGTATAAAACTAAAAAAAGAACAAAATAATATTAATTATTAGCTAATTAACTTAAGTAACATTTTCAATAAAAATAGTTATTTAGCAACTATAATGTCCAATATTTCTTATGCCTTTAGAAGAAATTTGTTCTATATAAATGAAAACATCAGGTTATATTGAAAGATCTAGAGGTCTTTCATATTGTTGATTTCTTTGAGTCTATAACAAAGGATGAAATAATCATATCCTATTTTTTTTTTTTTTTTTTTTTGATAGCTGCATTTTAATGTGTTCAATCTAATGGCTCAATTAATGGTAGCATCCAAGAATTTCAAAAACACTTTCAGTTGGGTATAAAAATAAATAGAGCAACTTTATACAGTTTATTGAATGATACCTTGTATAAATACTGTTATAATTTGAAAAGTGTTTTTATTGTAATACATACACAAAATATTTAGTAATTATATATATATTATAATTTTTTTAAATAAGTACTATTATATTGAAAAATTCCAAAAATGCGTTAAAAATAAACAAAAAAGAATAAATTATATAAAAATAATAATTTAAAAATCTAGAATTAAAATATTTGAATAAATTAAACAAAATATATAAATAATTATGATAATAAACAATTTTTTTTAACTCAAAGTAAAACAAGGAAGTTATTGATTTTACCATAGAGTTTATTTTTTTGTGTTTGTGACCTGTGTACACAATTTCAACTGAAAGAATTTCTGATAGGATATTATGTCTAGTTTTTACTTAAAGGAATTTCATTTTACAAATTTCTCAATAGTTTAGTATTTGTTAAATATGTGACATAATTAAGTAACAAATACCTAAAACTAAATTAGTACCTTAAAAAATAATATTTTTAATTATAATAGTAATTAATCTCACCATTTTTACTTTCACTATTAGATTTAATTTCTTCTTTTTGCTGCTTAGTCTGCTTTCCCTTTAGAATAGCCATTTTTAAGTACTCAATTTTCAATTTTGAATCAGACAACATTAGTTGAGCATCAGCTGACAGCTTTTTATCTCGCGAATATCCACTACTTAAACTTTGAATCATATTTTCAGCACCTTGCTTGACCTTAAAAAAGTACAATAATAAAATTCATACACAAATAATTTAAATATTTAAACATCCATTATTTACTTTTAATTCTATATTAAGTTGTTTTTCAAGTTGTACTAGTCTAAGGTCACTCACAAAATTAGACTCTTGGACTTGCTGAGGTGATGAACCAGCAAAATGCATAGGTAGAGAATCTAAAATTTAAATTTTTTATTAATTTTAAAGAAATACAATTTGTGGCAGTCTATATTTGTTTTTTTTTTTAACTAGGAAATGTTTGTTAGGTACATTATTATTACTATTGCACTAAATACTTTTCTTATACTAAGTTGACCAGTGTTAAATTAACTACCACACTAAATTTAATTCTAGACTTAATTTACATACTTTGTGGCTTAAATTATTTCAAATAATCACATTTAATATTTTCATTCTTCCACCAAATAAAAAAAGTATCAATACATTAATTAAGTTCTTTAATATACCTATTTAATTTATAAACAAATAGTAATATGCAATTAAAATTCAAGTTATCAAAATGCAGTATAATTATTTATGTAAATAGTAAATAATCAAGAGTGTACTTAGACATTTTTTTTTAATGGGAGGGAGGTTGTAGAAGTTTCAATATTTTTACTATGTATTCCAAATTTATTTATTTCATAAGACAATAATAGTGGAAATAATTAATTTTATAATAATAGATAGAACGACAATGAACAATATAAAAAAACCCAGCCAAAAGTTTATGATATTAAATTTAAATTGTATAAAAATCAATACTTTTTTCTAAATTTATTAAAATGTCGGGGGAAAGGGTTGAACACCTAAAACCTTCCCCATATGTATGCCCTGGTATATAATTGTCAATATAGGTATTAAGTTCATAAATAATATATAAAATCAGTGATGTATTTAGAGGGGCGATCGCCCAGGGCGGCATCAGATTTTTCACATTCCATTTCATGTTGAAGAACAATAATATAAATTGGTTAATTTTTTTTTTTTTTATCCAAGATAATATTCTAAGATTGAAAATATTCATGGGAGGAGGGGGGACAAACATTTTTGACGAAAAACCTCTCCTTCAAAACGACTAAACAGTATGGCTATATTATTAAATATTGAAACAGACATCACAAAAAGTTTACAGTATGATGACATAATCAATGAGTATAGTTCCTTTAAAATTCATAAAAAAAATATGTAAATTGTAAATATTGTTTTGTAATAATAATAAATTTTATATTTATACATTATTATTATTATTATTATTATATTTTATATTTGTGACTAATTTATAAAAATAGCATAATTTTTAAAGTTTAAACTGCACTTTCTTTTTCTAACAACCAAAAATTGTTTAATGGAAATTTTTGATTAAATAATCAATGGGAACTAGTTCCACCAGAGAATACAAAAAGTGATTACATTAAAAACAAAAATATAACAAATAAGTTAGAAAGCGCTTGAAAAGATAACGATAACGTAAAGACTGTTATACGGCCTACGGTTGGTTACTGGAAGGTAAGCTCTGACGCGCTTAGTTGATGGAAAAAGTAAAATAATTTTGTTATGGTGGGGAGGAGGATCAGAAAAAACGTTAGCATCTAGACGCCAAATTTCTAAATATGTCTTTGTACAAAATGGAGAATTAATTATTACTGTGTGTATGTGTGTCAAATTATAAAATTATTGCTATTAGTTAATTTAATTTTAAATTTTCTTAATGTAGGAAAATTAATTTTTAATAGATATAATTGAAAAATTATTTATTTTGAATACTAAAATAATATTCAGATATGCAAATATATTTTAATATTTTTTAGTATACTATAATAAAAGTATGGATATGTATTACTTAAATAAAACTAGGAAAATAATTCCAAGATCTTATAATTATGTAAAATGATGTTACATTTAACAATGAGCTAGATTTTTATTTTCTCATAGACTATATAATTTTATTTGTGAAGTTCAACAAGATAACAATGAGTAATTTTTCGACTGGTGGAAACTTTTTAAATGAGCAGAAAATAAAACATAAAAGCAATAAAAATATGTTGTACATTAATGGTTCAAGAAAAAAACTGAAAAAATATTTAAATATAAATGAATATAGAATATAAACTAATACATTTTTTTTAGCTTTTTTCAAAATTGTTAGTATTTATATACTTAAAGTACAATATTATTATTTAATTTTTAACAATTATGAAATAATTACACAACAGTATAACTGCAATAAGCAGTAATGTTCACACAATTTTATTTAGACTCAGTAATCAAGTTTTATTTAGCTGGTACTAATAGTTTTATAAATGTTTCAATAATTAAAGAGAAAATTATTTTTAGTAATTGCAATCTATTTTTTATCTTTTATACAATATTTCACAATCTATAAATGATTTGTTTACAAGTATACATAATTACTTATGACAGTTGAAATAAAATATAGGATAGAAAACTTAAATTAATTTATGTTTTTTTCTTTTGGTTAACAAATAATTGTCAAGGGTAATGATTTTGGATTAACATTATATTCCAACATTTTTAAACAAAATATTATGCAGTAAGTGGTAGCTAACCAAACTTTATTTAAAATGGTATTATGCATTAAGTCATAAAAAAAAAAACTGCCATACTACAATTCAATAATCCAAATTATCCTAAACAAAGTGATTAGAGGATAAACAATAAAATTATGAACTTGACAACCTTTTTTCTTTAAAATTATCCATTTAAACTAAACTTAACATTTAAAACACATTTAAAAGATCATTATTGTAGTAATATGATAGTTTTTAACTGTTTTAATTTAAAAATTTGTATGAGTATGTTTACTATTTATGTATTAAATTGAGCAGGGAATATTTTATAGAAAAAAGTTTGGTTAACAAAATAATTTACAACTTCAATACTAAATTTAACACATCATTTAATTAAACTTTAAAAAATAATTATCTCCATCAATCATAAGGTTCTGTTACAAATACTTCTAAAAAAAGTAAAATTATATTTGAGATGGAACAAAAAGTTGGTAGGTTTATTAGAGATATTTTTTAACATTTATGAAATCAAATTTCAAATTTTAATATACAATAAATACATTAAAATTCAGTGGTCTGGACTTAAAACTGGGCTCAAATCTTTTTAAATATACTTATGTTATGACTTAGGTAATTAAGTAATTAAATGCATTATGTATCAAATATACCAACCAATTGACTTATGCAAACATGATTTTTTTTAGAAAATACCCTGAAATCTATTTAGCTTTCCGCATTATTTTACAAAATGTTGTACTAATTTAAGTAAATTAACTTTAAATAATTAATTTCCAAATTTTAATCAAATTTGAAAAATAAATCAATAATAAAGTCGATCAAAAGAAGACTAAGGAAAAATTAAAATTGGTTTTCAAAAAATTCTCCCCGCATCAATAAAATAATCTGTTCTGTAAACAAAAAATAGATATCTTAAAATACTATGTTATGTATTTATAATGGACAGAGATAGTAAAAATTACAGTATTCAATTCTCTTATGAAAGAATCATGGAGGTCTACTTCTGCGCCAGTATACGCAAAATATGCCATGCACGTGTTATAAAATTGAAGCTGGAAAGAGAAACTAGAACCTCATCTGGTTCCTTCAATTGAGTAGAATAGAATAAAAATATTATGATTGTGAAAAAATAAAATACTAGTAGTATTAGTATTAGTAAAAAATATATAATGTTATATAACATACTATGATCTATTATATTATATAGGTTAAAGTACCAAATTACTATATAACATAGCGAGTTCTGAATTTACTCATTGGATCTATTATTGATGGTAAACGTCTTTATAAAACTCAATCTCATTTATCATCATTAATAGTGTTAAATTGTTCATATCATAACAACAGCTTTATTGTGCTTCATAAAATAATTAAAATATTTCTATTTACCAAATTCATAGACAAATTTTCAAACAATTTATCAATTTGGGTAACAACATAGAATAAATTATACTAGGTAATATATAGTTACTTGAAATAGGTCTATCTGCAGATCCATTGATTCCTGATGTCTTGTGGACTCCGGAAGAAGATGAATTATTTAATGAACCACACGATTGTTGTCCAGTTGCTCCATGGCTGAGTATAATATGGGATTCGAGTTCTTGTAATTCGACCTGCAGCTCGGCAAGCTTAGCGTTGGATTTTTTAACGATATCAGTGACATCCGACAAAGATTTGCGATCTGTCACAACTTCACGCAATTTCTCGGCACCTTCTTTGATTTTAAGCTCACGTCGAATCTCCCGCCTTATGGTTTCCTTTAGCTCATCCAATCGAGCTGGAGTTAACGTTTCAATGGACGTTGGATCAGGTCCTGTACCATCAGTGTTTGTTGTTACCAAACCATATTTAAAACCCAATTCGTATAAAACAGGATTAAACAAATATTCACCCTAAAATTAAAAAATTTAAGAATTAATTAAATGGTTTTAAATAATTATACAAAAAATAATAGATAATAGAGTATAATAGAATATAATAGATAAATCACCAGTATTATTTTTTGTCAAACCTTTTTTATTGTAATGAACCATTATTTAAACTTTTATAAATTTGTTAAAAATATATTATTATAATAACTTTATGAATTGCAATAAAATTACTGAAATCCATTTTATTCAAAATAGAAGTGCTCTTTTTAGAGGTTTTTTTTATATTTATATTAATAAGAGGTAAAAATACTTAGAGATAAATACTTACAGTATTTTTTTTTAAATTATGAGATATTTGAGAACAAGTCTCAATAAAAAATCTAAAATTCCTACTATCATGAAATAAATGATTCACATGCTAACAGGTTTTAACTAATCATATTGAAGTTAGAAATTAGATTAATGTTTATTTGTTTTGTTAAGTATAGTAAAATATATAAATGCATATAAAACTATAAAAAATACACTTATTATTAAAATAATTGATGAAAACAGATTTTGTCAAATAAACTGTCTAGCTGTAAACTATCAAAAGGATATAACCAATATATAACAAACTTTTAAAAGCATGTAACTACCTATAATTAATAATAAAACATTTTAAGGAAAAACTTGATCAAAAATAATAACTATAAGATTTTAAGGATTTAATACATTTGGGTATATTTTGTTTCTTATATTATGTGAATTAATTGAGTTATTTTCATATGAACTCTATATCCATACAAATATTACTTGAACAAAATTATCTTTTATTACGCTAGGTTTATAAAGTTAATTATTTTTAAAAAATGATTTAATAAGTGTTGTGCTGGTTAAAATGTATAAGTTACAACATAAAGCATATTTAGTTATAATTCAATATTGTTATATAATTATATTACTATATATTTAAATATAAATTTATATTTATTTTTTTCAACAACGAATTCAATGAAATTACACCTAAAATCTAAATAAAACATCTATAATTGGGTTTAGTAAATTGTTTCCCATTTTATTAATTTTAGGTAAACTGAGTCTCGCCTAAAAAAAAAAAAAAGGTAAATTGAGTTCCTCATATAAAAACTAAATCGGCAAAATGAGTCCCTTGTATAAAAATTAAAGCAGTAATTTTAAATATAATGAAATACTGTTTATTTTTATTTAACATACTTTTAATTATATTAACACAATTGTATACTATGTACATTAAACTTACATTTATCAGATACCACATATCACATCCAACGTTGTAGTAGATAGTTAAGTACTTATATAAATGTCACCTAATATAATAATATGGAGCGAAATATAATAATATTTAACGATATAATGATAAGATACATTTACCTATAGTACTCGGTGAATTTATAACTATATCAACGATGATATTTATAATTTAAATAAATTTAATACATTAAATATTTTAGACAGGACTCAATTTGCCGTTTTAACTGTTATACGAAGGACTTAGTTTACCTCTTTAAATTTTATACATGAGACTCAGTTTACCTATTTCGAAAAAAGATAATTTGTTTGGAACTCAATTTACCTACGCCCATAATAATATGAGTATATTTGAATATATTATTATAATAATAATGATATATTATAAATATTCTTGTTGCTGTTAGTCACCAGCTTACCATAAATTATTTATTTACTTGTTATTAATACTTCTTCTATTTATAACGTTTAATAAAAAAAACAAACAAACATAACTGATAATTTTCAATAGATTCAAAAATAGAAATATAACACTAGAATTCTAAGGATTTAATATAATTTATTTCAAGGAATACACTAGACAAAATTACAATCAAATTTAATTATTGAGAGTTAATAATTCAATTTTTATAAAACATTTACAAATGGTTATTTTTTCATATGTTCATGTACCAAACGTTTTTTATTGAATTTTAAATTTTGTTTATTAAATTCTGATAAAATTTATAATAGTAACTGTATACACTAATTGATCCAAAAAAATTCTAAATATTTTTAAAAAATGTTAACTATTTTATATTTTGTCACACATTTATCTTACTTTATCACTTTTTAACTTTTAATTCTGTGATTTAGGCCTACTACACACAGAGTTATTCAAAAGAAACTAATTACTGACACAAATCACTAACTAGTTGAGTCACTACCAATGTTAATCGATGGAACACTATAGACGGCGCTACTGATTACTAACCAGTTACTATTGCATTAGTAAGTTCCAAGTGATTCAACTGTCGAGTCACCTTTGAGTTGTGTTACTTCAATATTTTGCTGCCCGATAAAGCTTTTTCAGTTTTGTACAAACATTTATAAAAAAACATCCCATTTTATATAACTTCACGCTTTCAGGAGGCAGGGGAAATCATTTTCACCAAATCTAAGTAATTTTCTTTTGATATCGATAAAAACATAAAATTAAGTACCTGAAAGATTTAGTTCTTTTGCAGCAACGAATAATCAGCGATGGAATTTTTTTTTTGAGATATGGATAAACCCAAAACCTTCTATTTTTTTTATTTCTTCTGGAATGGTAGTATGCTATCATTACATCTTCATCAAAAGAATCACTATCAATACTAATGGTGCAGCAAAATGATTATGATTAAATATGCCCTTTGTCCATGGTCATACAGAACAAACTACAAATATCGATCACGAGTAGGTATATTATGAGTAGCCTTGTGTATGGACCCAAGTCACCAATGCGTTAGTAACCAATTAGTAATTTCAATCATAAAACAGTTTAGTTTTTTTTTAATAGCTCCATGTATAGAAGGATTTAGGTTCATTATTTCTATAGTAAATTTATTATCCTGTTATTTATAATAAGTTAATAGATATATTCGAAATTTTCCCAACATTGATCATAACAAATACTAAACTCGAAACAAAAATAACATATGTAGTTGCAACATTTCTGTAAACAATTTTTAACCCATCTCATATATATTTTTGTAAATGTCTTATGGTTTCCCAAAATACACAAAAATTTAATTGGTAAAAAAGGAATTTGAAAATTAACTATATTTTAAATTACACATGTAAATTGAATACAAAATTAATTAAGAAGAAAAGAAGCAGCATACCACTATTATATTTTGAGATAAGTGACACTAAACAAGTATTCAATAAAGAATTTATTAGTTACACAACCAACTTTTCAACATGATACTACAACAAAAAAAACAAAATCTAAGTCTAATGCACTATATAGTGTCTTTGAATAGATACGTAATCTCACATTAGATTAAATAATTATTTTCTTGAAATAATCTTTCAACTTGATCAATCAACTATAATATTTATTCAAAGCACTAAGTAATATTTTTGGTTAAAAACATAACTGACAATAATTACCTATACAAATTAAGTATAATAGGAATTAATTATTAAACTAAACAATGAATATAAATCAACAACTATATTTTATCTATGCTACATTTTTAATACAACAGTTGATGAACTGAATATTTTTAATAGGCACTATCTATATTATACAAAATACTATTATCAGACAAAAATAAATAATTTGTTTCAAAGAAAATATAATTATATAATATAATATAATATTAATATAAATAATATTTATATATAATAGAAATATAATTATAAAATTAAACAAAAACAGTACTAAAGTTAATTTGTATACTTATATTAATTATATATAATTATGCAATAAAATATATTGAAATATCATAGGTACACATATAACATATGATGATACTCTCAATTATTTTTATAATTCGATATTGTGAGATAAAAAAAAATGTTGATATATTCGATATATCTATCCTGAAACCAAAATTTCTATATTTCAGGAAAGTTTTTTTAAAATGTAGTTGTCTTAAATATAAATGGCTCTGGTTTAACTTAAGTATTTTAAAAAATTTAAAAAAGCATAATATTAATTTAGAAAAAATGGTCAGACAAGGATATGATGAAGCTACAGCAATGATTGGACATTAATTGGGGTTCAGGCAATAAGACGCACAGTTCTAAGTGCCTTATAGTGCACACTCATTAAACTTAGCCATTAGTGATGGATGTAAAATTACTGTCATAAGAAATTACGATGGAAATGTTTTAAGTACATGCACTTTTTTTCAAGGCTCAGCTCAACAGGAATTTTAAAAAAATCTATACAAACATAAAATCTCTTTCATCCAATAGTTAAGTGACACTTGTTGCTATATGTGAAATTAGATTGATTTTAAAACATGACTGTATTATTAAATAGTTAAAACTAATTATTATTCTTGTTTACATTGTAATAGAATTAAAACAATTTTAGGTATTTAAAGATGTACCAAATGAAAATATAATATGTAATCAAAAAAATTAACAGATTTATCAAATATATATAATAAAATAATTATGTATAAATATAAAAATACCTTTAATATTCAATTTTTAAAGAATATCTATTAAATCAAAAATATAATTTGTATAAGGTAGAAAAAATAAATTGTTTATTTTGGTAATTCAAAATGTTCAACATAAGTCTATTTCCATAAAATATGTAATTTATTGAATACATTTATTAAGCGCAACAATACAGATAATAATTATACAATTTTTTTTTAATACTAGTTTTAATTTTTCATCTTTTATTTCAACATTTCCAAAAAGAAACAAAATTTCTTCTTTAACACTTTAATGAAAATGTATACATATAAATTACAAATACCAAAGGGTAACAGTAAATAATTGTTAATCAAGATAATTGAATTATACCTAACTATATAATATATATGTTTCCAGTATTAATATTTTTTTTATTTTAAATCTTTATGTAGTAACAAACATATTATGAACAAAACTAATTGGTGTCAAAAGAATTACTATCTTTGGTTGCAAATGCCAATTTATATATAGTTTTAACTGTACACATTGCTTAACAATTTTTAATTTAGTCAATAGTATTTAATGATAACTTAGTCAGTAGAATATATATGTAACAATATAAGTAGTAAAAAATTAATGTGTTTAACGATGCTTTTGAATTTCTAAACTCCGATAAAAATAAAATAAAATAAAATTGTCAATTTACTGAATAACAACTTAAACTGTTTTTTAAGTTGTTATTCAGTAAATTGACAATTTTATTTTATTTTATTTTTATCGGAGTTTAGAAATTCAAAAGCATCGTTAAACACATTAATTTTTTACTACTTATATTGTTACATATACATTATATATATATATATATATATATATATATATATATAAGTACTAATGTATTAAATAATAAATATATGTACTACTTTAAAGACAATCTTATTTACTATTTTATTGTACTAGGTCAATGTCAATGCCAGATTATAATACCTCTGGCTAGTTTTCATATAAAAAACTGATAATTGATAAACTTACTATAATATAGATAAAATTATTAGAATAGTTATGTAAATTTTCTATACTACAAACATTACCATGTTAAAAATAAAAACAATGAATTGAAGAGTATGTTCCCATAATGTTAAAAAAATAATTCAATAAAAATCTTGCTAAAAACTTCAAAAAAATATGAAGAAAATGCTTCTCTTTTTATTTTACTTTAATTTGTTATATCAAAAAATAATCTGTTCAGTTTTTATATAATTATTCATATTTTGTTAGTGTATTCATTTATATTTTTCAAGAAGTACCTACCTACCATCTACCAACATGAAATGTATAGAAATTATAAATATATTAATAACAGTGTCAGTACACCTTTGTCATACTTATTGATATTGTTAGGTTTAATTAAATGTTTTAGCTTAACTTTTAAAAAAATAACTTAAACCTTTTTTTGAAACAAGTTATTCTGATGGTTAGCAACTAGATATAAATATACTGATTTTCAGCACCAATGTTTGTAAGTAAATATACAATATTAAAAGGGCAAAATATCAAAATAAGTATTCAATATCTAATGAATAAAAAATGAAATTTGATACCTTAAACTAAGGTAATACAGGATCAAAATATCAAAACTATAAGAATGCAAATACCATTGATAGGAATTAATAGTTTCATTAAACTATAGATATATACAAATTATAATTAAGTAGATAAGCACTACATAATAATAATATTCAAATTTAATCCTACCTACTACAAACTGCATTCTACCAATAATAGGTAATTTACAATATTGACATGTTGTAATATTGACTTATAAATGTACTAGATACTATCAAATTATGTAAAAACATGCTATACATATTATAATAAAGCACAATTAGCGATACTCAATGTGCATGTTAATATATAAATTATACTATTCCACAAATAATAATACACAAATTTTACAAGATCATGAAATAAAAAACCGAAAAATGTTAAAATTAGTATTACGTTACCATTGGGCAATAAACTTGCAGTTGCTAAAGAAAAAGATATATGTTCTAAATGTCGACAAACCTCAGACATTAAAAAATAACAAAATTAACAGCATAGAATGATCGACGCTATAAAATACCCATAGGTGTGCCCCAGCTTGACAGGAATTTTTTTGGGGCATAGTAAAATGCCTATATATATTTTAATATGTTTGTGGAAATCAATTAATTGTATTTATATCATTTGATTTTAAAAAATTTAAAGTTTTACTTTTAACTTCAAAAATATATGTCTAAAAATTAGCAATATAATACTTAATTCAATGTATAGATATAAATACTACATTGTTTTTAATTTACAACAGAATCTACTATGTTGAAGTGTTCGAAAAAAATTAGGCGTACTGTCTAAGTATTGAGGCACTAATTGTGTTCAGCCTCGACCAGAAGTTGAAGTCTGCGCACGCCTATGCAAATACCCGTAGGATAATAATCCAACATCAAATTTCAAGCACCAACAGTGCAACATCTATAGTGCTACCCAGAACACTGTAATGCTTATTATTTGTAATCAAGTGCGATTTAAGTTGTCCTGAATAAGCTATGCTGTATCGTTACGAGATCGAAAATACCAGCTTCACAACCTTGAAAAGAGCTATATTGCTCATTTCGTAGGCCACAATAATTAGGCACGAACAACGACACATCACAACCAACAAACACACACCGATTGCAATACACGCACACAAGACGACGACGTACCCGTGTGCACGTACGATTCATGTGATGTGTCCAAACGGACAATCGCGAGTGGCAACAAAATTATATAAAAACGGTCATTTCCGCCGACCACCACCTAACACAACACCTTTGACCGGCACGGATAACACACACCATGTTTATGTTATTGTGATTATTATTATTATTGTAGTTTGGGTGTATTATTATTTCGCGCGGCGGCAGCACTTTTGACAGGTGAATGAACTCACCTGATAGTACTCGGCCATTTTTCAGCCGGCACCGCGCTACAAAATAGCACCAAAACACGGATCGAAGACGACGAAAACTACAACGACTGTATTCACAGGTTCATCTCACCAACACCAATCGGTTGTTGAGCCACGGAAACTTTTCATCGGATCACGGAACGACGGAGACGACGACGACAACGGCGGCGGCGGCGGCGCAGCCGTAAACGACTACCGACGACGAACGATTGCGGTAAACCATTACGTCGGCGGCTGATGTCCGCCCGTCAACCAACGCAACGCCATTACTTTAATTATTTTAATTCTCTGTTTTTCCCCCGGGCCGCGCGCGGGCAGAAGGGGACAACGGAATGTTTAACGCACAAAACTCGCGCACGGACGGACGCACGCACGCAAACACGCATGAGCCGCTGGAATTTGATGAATGACTCGAAGGAACTCGTCGACGTCGACCGCGTTCGTCGCCACTCTCACAAGATCGGAGATGCGCAACCGCAGTAGCGGCGTTGCACTGCATGCACAGTGCGCCGTTCAAATCGCCTGGTCCCAGTGTCGCCGCACCAGCTGGATCTAATTATCCCCGCGGACCGTGTTCAGTTTTTTATTTTTATTTAGCTCGTTTTCCTAATCGGTCGACCGTCAACAAACATTGATAGCCACGTAAAAACGACGACTATTCTGAATCGTGTTGTACCCATTGAACACTATATGTTATCATATAGAGTTCAACGAGTGTACCACGAATGGTAGACAGTTACTAATATTTTTTTCATCACTTCACCAACCGCGGGCGTTGTACGTTAATTTCGCAGATTGTTATTATTATTATTGTTATTTATGATAGTATTTTCAATTCATTGGTGACGATCTCGTTACCGTAATTTATGTTTGGTAATGGCCCTAACACCACGAACCAAAGACTGGTTCGAACGTGCACGCAAAAATGACAGCTAATAAGGAGTTCTGTATAGGCAAACTTAAAGACTATTATAGGCCTACATTTAACAATGCTTCCCATATTTGAACACATGAACATGAGTCCAACTAGGAGAGGCTGGGAGTTTTAGCCCCCCCCAAGAATGCCCAAAGTCTCCTCAAAATAAATTAGTCCATTGTTTTCAAGAATTCAAATAAATAACTCGTTTATACTTTAATTTTCAAAAAAAAAAAATTCAAAATTCAGAGAAAAAAAAATATTTTTTATTTATTATTTGTTTTGTTTCATCTTTAGTTATTTTATATTCTGTGTTTGCCGATTTGTATTTGGTTAATATGACAATTTAATTTATTAGCCAACTGCCAATTGTATCCGTGCAACTAATTTATTTCGTATTTCTTAAATTAGAGTAAGATTATCATAAGGCCGACAACACAAGGGCGTTATTTTATCAGCGACATTTTAACCACGTAAACAACATTTTCTGGTCGTTTTAATTTATACCAACACCCGAGCATTTTTGTACTGCATGTTTATTTAGGTACCTACGATATTTATGATAACTAATCGTATATTTACTTTTTTCATTAAACATGTATTAACTATTTAGTATTTGTCTATGTTTTAACTAGACAACATCATGACAGATGAAAATATTATTTTGTTTTTAGGTTACTATTCTTTTAAATATAAATTTTTAAAAATAAAAATAAATATTTGTAATATTGTAGTACATTACATACTAAACATTAAATAACCTATAATATAAAATGTTTTCTTATGTTTAATTAGTTAAAAAATTAATAATTAATTAATTAATTATAAATTACGAACTAAGTTAAAAATAATATATAATTTATACTAGATTAGTAAATATTATGATTAAATTAATATTTATATTTGTACCTATATGAGTATATATTTCAACAATTTAAAAAACCAAATTGTTATATATTTTTGAATACAAAATAACTTGCAAATTTTTACAATTTCAGACATTTTTGATTTTAAACCCATACAAAAAAAATTGAGCTTATGTATTTTTATTATATGTGTATATGTCATAGTTAAAGTATGAAATCATACATGAAAGTTATTTCATTGAATATCTATTTTTTTTTTTCTTAATTTATTTTGCCTTAGTTGATGAACTATACTACAATACAATTAGATAAATTATACATGAAAAATTACTAATTATCTAAAAATAATTGTGTATAAATTAAATAAGGAAGCCAGAAGAATAGTTGAAATTAATAATGGAATGAATGACAGGAATGGAGCGGGAGTCAATGAGAAGATTAGAATCGGGAATTATATAACAAAGGGAAGATAAGAATGAGAAAAGAAGTTGTCTGCTAGAAAGAATAGAAGGACAGTTAAATATAATGTGATTAAAATCACATTGAATCCTCATGAAGACTAGTGTAGAGCGGATAGGAACTAAGGGAAAGCTTGAAAAAATGATGGGAAAGGAGGCTGTGCCCAATACGGAGGTGGGTAAATCCTACGATCAAACGCCTAGAATGTTAATTTTGCTGAACCACGGAAACTTCAGAATTATAGGAGAAATATGTCTATACCAAGTGGCGAAGTTATGTGGTAGGAGCACCAAGTAGATTGCCAAGCATTGCGAAGGATAGTAAGGAGATCAGAAGCAGGTATTTTAAAAATGGAAGGATGTGAAGAGAATTTTGTAAAAACAGCCAGGATATCAGCTCGCTCATAGCTAGCTATACCGTCATGACTAGAAACCCATACAAAATTGACAATTTTATCATTGAGGCTAATACGATAAATTAAGAATTTGATGGTGAGAATTAAGGGAGAGAGGAAGGGATTGAATGAGCTTGAGGAAAGATCGAGGAGGCAAAACTGTGAGTCAGAAATAATGAGGAAGGTTTTGAAATCAATATTGAAGATGAATTGAAGAGCATTAATTATTCTATAACATTCGGTGGTAAAAGATGATGCCAGAGAGTTCAATTTTTCAGAAAAAGAAATATTCAGAGTACGAATATAGAAGGAGAATCCTGCAGATCCGTGCGAAACGGAACCATCTGTGAAGACTAATAGATAGCGTGGGAAATTGAGTAAGATAAAATCATTAAACATGGAATCAAAAAGGGAGTTTGGGAGGCGTGATAGATCACTAGGGGAGTAACCAATGGAATTAGGAGAGATGGTGATTTCAGGAATATAGGTTGAAGCGAGATACGGAGTGTCATATAATTGCAAAGGCTGGAGCGATAAATGGATGGAGAAAAATCCGAAAAAGAGAAAGCGACAGAGGCTAGGATAGGAAGCATTTTAGGTACGTAAGTCCAAGAAGTTTTAATAGAAGCAAAAGTGTTGAAGAGAGATTGATTAGGTGAAGATAGGCATTTAAGCAGAATTTCCCAGCAAGGCATTGACTTCTTATTTCGATAGGGGGACAAGAACATTCTACCTCTAAGCTGACTAGAGGAGATGAGTGCGAGGTACCGACTATCGTACGAAGACAAAAAGCCAGAATATAATTAACTTTTTTACGGTTAGAATGAGAAGCAGAGGAGAAAAGGAAGATCCATAGTCAGATTTTGCTCTGATGACTGTGTTAAAGATTTTAAGGAGGCTAGAAGGATGTGACCCCCAGTTAGTGCCAGATGTGGCCCGAAAAAAAATTGGACCAACCAGATATTACACCTTTAAGAAAATTGAACTGAAGAACCAATCTCAGTTTGGGGTCGAGTTTAAGGCCAAGATAAGTGACAGAGGACGAGGGGAAAATAATTTGGTTATCAAAAAAATATATGAGGATTAAAAGCTAATTTCCTGCGAGTAAAAATCATAATGTGACTCTTCTTAAAATACACGTCAGATAGATTAGATGATAGTGTACTTAGAGCATTTTCACAGGAATTTTTAAGAAATTAATTAGAAGAAAATAGCACAACATTATCCGCGTATAGAAGGACTTTAAAGTTAAGAGAAATTAAGGAGAGGTACATGGGAGAAATGTATACATTAAATGAAAGAGGACTGAGATAACTCCCCTGAGAAATTCCTCTATATGATAGACTGTATGAGACAGATCCGGAAGGAAAAGTGAATTTAAGTCTCCGTAAAGAAAATAATGAAGAAATGAAATTACACACCAAATTTGGGACATGAAGGGAAGCAAGAACAGAAATCAGGGTAGGAATATGTACTGTATTAAAAGCGCCTTTGGTATCAATGAATGAAGAGCTTAGGAATTCTTTATCGCAAAAAGATTTATAAACCTGTCCAACGAAAGTCCATAAACATTCGATGGTACCCATACTGCGTCGGAATCTAAACAAATTGTTTTGGACAAGGTTGTTCTTTTTCAGAAACCAATCAAGGCGAATTTTTATTATAGATTCAACGATTTTTACAAATAGTGGATGATAAGACGAAAGGTCTGTGAGCGGCAGAAGGAAAATTGGACTTAGGGAGAAAAATAACATGGTATTGATTCCAGGAATCAGATATCGTGCCTGAAACCCAGATATCATTTAAGATATTTAAAATACGGGTAGAAGCTTTGTTCGAGATGTTTTGGAGGACAATGATTAAAATTCCATCCAGGCCAGAGGCTGATAAAGAGCGTGAGGAAATTGCTGAAAAAAGTTCTTTAGGACTGAAGAGCGCTGAGAGAACATGATGATTAGGCTCAAGATTATTAGGAATTGGTATTATCTGCGGCAGGATTCCTCAAGTGAGGGAAAATAAGGATGAAGTATCTTATTACAGAAAGAAGGGAACCAGTCCTCATTGAGCGAAGTAAAGGGATAGTTAACGCAATTTTTAAATTTTTTGTCGATGACCCAAAGATGTTAAATACAGGTTGAGTAGTTCAGTGTAGAGTAAAAATTCATCCAGGAATTTTTTTTAGCAGTTTTAAGGATACTTTTGGTTTTTTAGTAGGAATTTTGGTAGAGAAGAAAGTCGCGAGTGAAACCGGAAGACTTGAATGTTTTGAAGGCATCGGAACGGCTTTGAATTGCCTTGGAACAAGATGAATTCCACCATATAGGCGAAGTGGATGAGAATTTGGAAGAAGTTGATTTAACAGGAATCGCGTAATTAGAAGCAGTGTATAGAAGAGCGAAGAAATTGTCATAGTTCACTAAAGGAGAATTACAGAAAGAACAGGAATATATAAGTGAATCTAAATGTGATGAAAACAGAGGTCAATCAGCCTTGGAGAAAATTAATTTGGAAACAAAGGTATACGGATAATTTGAAGACGAGAGCACTAGAATTATAGAGACATGTTCAATAATTATGGGAAAATGATCGCTGCTGTTGGGCTCATGAAGAAGGGACCAGGGAAGAGTCCAAGAAATTGCAGTGGACGTAACCGTAATATCAACCGCAGTGTTAAAGAAAAGGGGACGGTTTACGCACGTTGAGACACTGGAGTTGAATATACTTAAGTTGAGATTATTAATGGAAGTATAAATAGACTCTCCACGGAGGTTTTAATTGTTATTATTGTCCCAAGAAGAATGATGATTAAGTCCCCACCTAAAATAGAGTCAGGGCCATTGAGTTGAAAAATAT